CTTTAAATTAAGAAATTAACTAATGTATAATACTAAAATTTGAATTATAATCTACAGTTTGATGCCTAACTTATTGACATAAATTCATAGTAGTTCAAAAAAATTTTGAATGTGAGTCAACAAACATGATGACATGGCCCATGACCCATCGTGATAGTGTTAAAATATTTAATTAAAACAATCACATTCATTGTGTACAAAATACTTTTAATCTTTAACAAAATCTTACCAACTGTTGTGAAGATATATTCAGAAAGCTCAAAGTTATTGTAAGTATTGTTGAACTGTGTGTCATTCTCCATACGAGCTACGCCCATAGGATTATGCTCCATCTTAAATCACGAACAAGTTCGTAAACTCTTATGGCTGCAGTTTTTTCCTTTTTATTCATTAAAAATTAATTTAGAAGAACACGTAGGTTCAATAAATCAGTTTAAAACAAACATACGGTACCCTATAAACACAATCATAATATGGTTAAAAATGATGACGAAAAGCTGACACTGGTCAGTGAAAAGAATTATTATTGGATACCATTACAAGGTTTTTATACACAAATTCCTAATGAACATTAAGTTTATTTTAGTGACTTAGTACTAATCTGTTTTAAATGAAACTTCTAAAAGTATACAAACTTTAATAGTAATGTCCTCATAAATTCCTTGCACCCTCACGGCTCCTCCTAACACTGCCTGAGAAAGACTAATTGTGGCATCTGTGTGAACATCAGCACCATCTCGATGAAAATAATCGCTCTGCTGAACCTATAAAAATTAACAAGTATAGTTACAGTACAAATATGATGCTGTGAAGAAAAAAAAGTTTAATTCAATAGCAGTATTATATGCTGAAATAGGCTCACTGGCTTTCCAACTTTTGAAAATGTAAACTTTTTCTGCTCTTTTTTGTCTTTTTATGCCCAAACAAAGTGAAAAATCTAATCTAAAACAAGATCACCCCATGAGTACTAAAACAATAGTTCATAACTCACTAAGCCATGGACAAAGGAAACAGACACAAAATAAAAAAATAACTGCTTTTTCAAATTAATGTAGCAATAAGAGTACTCAGTCATTGCTGCAAGGGTGAAAAAGATATTCTATGAATGCAAAACCAAAACATTCAACCTGCATGTAATTAGCATTTTACTTGTTACACGAAAAGTTCCATTTCTTTACTTTTCTATATTTACCAACACATTCTTCAACGAATGTCTTTAAAGCAAGGTACTTAAGTTTCAAGATAGACATGAAAAAAAAATGTTTTTCCAAATCAAACAAAAACCAGCATCACGTAAAGGTTTTATTCAAACTCTCTGTTCTACTGACAATTCTTCAGGTCTGTAGTTTGTTGTCACAAGCATCACGTAAAGCTTTTATTCAAACTCTCTGTTCTACTGACAATTCTTCAGGTCTGTAGTTTGTTGTCACCAGCATCACGTAAAGCTTTTATTCAAACTCTCTGTTCTACTAACAATTCTTCAGGTCTGTAGTTTGTTGTCACCAGCATCACGTAAAGCTTTTATTCAAACTCTCTGTTCTACTGACATTCTTCAGGTCTGTAGTTTGTTGTCACCAGCATCATGTAAAGCTTTTATTCAAACTCTCTGTTCTACTGACAATTCTTCAGGTCTGTAGTTTGTTGCAATGATGCAATAGCCCCCACAGAGCCCCAATCTCAAACCAATTGAGCAGATCTGGGATTTGATAGATTGAAAACTTGACAAATCAAAAGTTACTTCCAAAGAATGTATTAGAGACATTTAGAGTAAAATCCCAAAGGACACTTTGATTAACTATGTTGTAACAATGCCTGAAAGACACTCTGCAAGTAAAAAGTAGACACACAAAATATTTGTTGTCTGCTGAACTCAAGCACTACCACAAAGTTTGTTCTACTAAATATAAAGTTTAAAAAAATTCTGTTATTTCACCTATGGTTTACCTTATATTGTTCTTTGAAAGTAGCCTGAAATTTAATTTTTGACTTTGTTCTAACACTTTTGAACTGTACTGTATGTATTGAAGATTATATCTTCAAGGAATGGTAGTTTTTGAGTAAATTAAAATTTTGGTTTTAGGTGGGATAAGAATTATAAAAAAACCAAAGAGTGTGTTGTTTACAGGCAAGATTCCTTGGAGCTGTGCAGATATGCAAGTTAGAATTTTATCATTTTTCTTAGCAAATTACATTAAATAAATGTTACAAATGACAAAATATCAACATTAAATATTGAGTGAGTAAAACATCATTAAAATAGAATTAAAATTATTATCATTACTTATATTTCATAAGCAGATGTACACCTGAAATGTTCACTCCAGCCCAGAAAGGGTTAATCTAAACAAACACAGTCTTACCCTGAAGGTTATAAATAATTCTCTTTTCCCAACCTGCATTCTTACAGTCTGACCATCTTCCACACCTATTATAAAACAAATGTAAGATATCTGAAAAACATGCTGAGTAAATGTTCCAAACATATAGCTTTATTGTAGAGTAACACATACATATTTATAATTATATATATAGCTTTATTGTAGAGTAACACAT